GTTTGCCGACTGTTTTCAGATGCTCTTTGGGTATGTTCTTGACAATCTAGTGACCCTTATTAAACATCTTTGTTAATACCAGATGCAAATCGGATCAGAATTAGAGTTGGCTATGATACTGTCTTTCATTTTATTCACCTGATTACTGTTATCCAGGTTCACACATCAAGAATAACAGTTTGGGCTAAGGCTTGAAACTTTGGTGAAAATGTTAGCTTTAGCAATCAACTGTTGCACTATTGGTTGCATTATTACTTCTGAGTCACAGGGTTCTGGGTTCAAGTTTCATTCCAGGGCTTGAGCACAAAAATCTCAGTTAACCCTCCAGGTCTGTATTGATGGAGTGCTGAATATTTGAATATATTGTCTTTTGGATGAAATGTTGAAACTCCTGCTCATGACTGTAAAAGGTCACACGTACCGGTCACTGTCTCAAAATAAGGGGTTGGCTAATTAAGGCAGAGGTAAGGAGAATGTTTTTTTCAGAGGGTCATGTATCTTTGGAATGCTTTCTTGAAAGATGGTAGAAGCAGATTCTTACATTTTTAAGGCAGAGGTAGATCATTTCTTGATAAGCAAGAAGGTGAAAGGATGTTTGGAGTAGACATTTGAAGTAATTAGATCAGTGATAATTTTGTTGAATTTTGAAGCAAGCTTGAGACCCCAAGTGGCTTCTGCCTGTATGGTACTCTTCCAAAGAAGAGTATGGCTGTTAACCCAGTGTTCTGATCGATAGTTATTCCTCAGTGAGCGTCACAAAAGCAAATTACCTTCTCGTTTATCACAAGGCTGATTGCTGGAACCTGCTGTATACAGATTAGCTGCTGTGTTACAACATGACTGTAATTCAACAACGGCTTGCTTCTCTGTCTGGTCTAAATCTTTTAGGTTTTTTGGTAGTGATAGAGTCAATGGATACCAAGGACCTGAGTCTCTTCAGAACAATAGATTAGGATGGCTGCTGGGAAGTAGCAATGAATGTTGTAGATTTGAGGAATTAAAAGTCATGGTTCAGCAATTTGGAATAAAATTATTTTGTGACTTTTGTTGTAGATAGTCTGATTATAATTTCAAAAATGCTCAGATTTATGGGGCTGCTAGCAAATACCATGAAATTCACTCTTCTTCAAGCATCTTTTAGAAAGAGAATCTATCTTAATTGCTTTTTGGTAATCCATACATTTGACGTGTTTAAAATGTAATCATGACCCTGTAGCTATGAAGTGATAGTTCACCCCTTACAGCATTTCAAGCCTCAGAAGTTATTACATTTAATCTGCAGCTACAATCAGTTCTTTTCCTAAGTTTCTCCTCCCACTCATCGGCTGGAATGAAGTTTGAGGGTGGTGAAAGTAGATCCAATAACTTGGAAAGATATTTGGATAAATACCGAAAGGAAAACATAACTGCAGCATGACAGGCACAGATAAGGGAGTAGCACTATTTGGAAGTTCTTTGAAAAGAGCTGTCGCAATAATCACAATGTTCTCATTCTGTTGCATGATTCTCATTACACAGACTTTACATTTTTAGTTCTGCTTCAAGTTTTTCTTCTCTCTTTCATGTTTTCATATTGAGAATCATAGTGACTGTGTGGACCTGTATTGACTGGCATTCACTGCATCTTTAAAGAAGTTTCAGTTTCTATTAAGATATCCCACAGTGACTTCATTTTTGAAGTAAATTTGTTTTTGAGACCCATTAATCTGTAGAGCGAAATCATTATTCCTGTTCACCTGTTGAAGAGCATAGTTCAAGTGGATATTTTTGAGGTGACTTTGGAGCAGAGACATATTACACGAGACCAACAAAGTAGATAGAACCTGAGGCACCAATGTGGAGTGACCAGTGTGTGCAGTGTCACTGATCTGTCTAATATTAATGACCAAAGAAATTAGCTTAACACTTTCACAATTGTGAACATTTTTGAAGCCCTTAGCTGTAAATGCTGAAGTGGATAGATCGTACCTTTCCATTCATTTTCCCTGATTTTAATTGAACATGATCCATCTGTGCCTAGGAATTTAAGTTGCACAGACAAAAAAGAAGACTTAGTTGTAGGCTATGTTCAGGGTAAAATTGAGAACGATAAGATGCCAAAGTAAGTGGCCACAGCAGTCACAAAGAAGAATGCCTTTGTTCATTTCCAGATTAATGTTGCCTGGCAGTTGCTGGTAATTGTTAGTCCTCAAAATTGATCATGCTAAATTTTGTACGTGGTGCAGATGACATCTCTAATCCCAAAGGAGCTAATGACAAACAGCACTGAGATTCCATTAGACAGGGACCAATTGTCACACATGGAGAGGAGTTCCTGCCCACATCGAATGGTGTTTGGATGTTTTCTGGGTCAAATTTTATTTCAAGTGTCACCCAGGTGCAGTGTAACATTAAATGTAAATATTTATCTGCTGTACAGGAAAAGATTGAGAGTGATTTGAAAGCCAAAGCAACCAGTGAGAGATTCTTGTTAATGACCTTGGCCGAGGCCTGGTAGGAGCCTTTCTGTGTGCGCGATGTGATTCATTGCAGTCATGGCTGATCTGCCTGCAATCATGGCTGATCTGCCTCAAATCTGTGTTTTCAATTCATTCCCATATTCCTTGATTCCCTGGGAGACCAAAAATCTATCAGTCTTAAATATACTCAATACTGCAGCATCCTTAGCCCTAGTGGATAGTTTCTCAACCCTTTCAATTCATGATAATCGACCTGTTATCCCAAGATTGTCCCTGCCCCCATCCATGCTGTATTATCTAACTAAGGGAAACAACATATCAGGAACCACTTTATAAAGCTCCTTCAGAACCTTGTACGTTTCAATGAGATCACCCCTCATTCTCTTGAATTCCCGGGAGTATAGCCAAATTTACACAGTCTCTCATGGTAAAATCCTCTCATCCCAGGAGCCAATCTAGTGAGTCTTCACTGTATTACCTTCTAAGTATAACCTTCATTGAATATGGAGACCAAAAGTGTCCACAGCACACCAGATATGGTCTCAACAAAGCCCCATACAATTGTTGCAAGAAATTTTTCTTTCTACTGCAGTCGCCTTGCAATAAAGATCATATATATTTTATATCAGTTGCTGTACTTGCATGTCAACTTGGTGTTCCTTGGGCAGATATACTCTCAGGTTTCTGTGAGTATCAAAATTCAGGACTTCATCAGTTTCCAATTCATGAGAGAAACATCGTGAGGCATGTAGTGATCCCTTTTCGGCTGGATTTGAGGGAATTTCACATTGGTGTAGGAGATAACGGCTCCTCTCAGGTTACAGTCCACCTGAGCCTTCAGATCTTTACTTGATTCTCAACTAGATTCAGGTAATGTAGCAGCCCATGTTTCATTGTGCTGTAGTCATGATGGCATTTCCAAACTACTTTTGAAACCATTGGTGCACTAACAAATTTCTTGAACTCAATGCCTCTGGTAGTTTTCGTTCGCATGCATGTGCCTATTCACACCAACGATGGGGCAAAGAAGGGAAAGTGGAGCTCGAAATGAAAAATGTTTGAACATCAGTGTCCCAGAGTTTCAGTAAGAATAAGTGCTTAGTGAGAAGTTTGTAATATGTACCTCTTTACAATTTTGGGGATTTTGCATTCCACTGATCACCAGAGCTAAATTAGGAGGCTGCTGTTACCAGTTACCCTATTGCACAACCAAATACTTTGGAAAGGAAAAAAAAATTGCAATGAAGGCAAAGTTGTGCCTGTTGTTGAACTCGTTGGTTTCTAAGGTAAACTATCATGCTGGACACGTTCTGTTGAACCAAGGTCATTCAATTAACTGTTCCCTAAGGGACAGATTTGTTTTCTCCCCCTTCATTCAACCTCTGGTGTGCTATGTTTTGTTTCTCTGCTTAATTTCTCGTGTGCTTTTCCTGTGATTGTGAGCTTTTTTAATTAAAAACAAATTTATTGCTTGAATTCCTGTCAGTGCTACACATAGTAACTATTAGTTCTTGAATGAGCCATAATACTTCTTACTGTTTCTTTTTTGTCCTCCTGCATCAGTCTTATTGTTTCTGTTATATATAATACACTTTCACGAGAAAATGTGAAGTAAGTTATCAATCTAACTGTTTTCACGCCAGGGATCAAACTTAGGACCATCCTGTTTTGTATTCTTTTGTTCTACACAGGCACATCAGACGTGTTAGAGGCTGTTTGATTTATTGCTAATTTTCATTGCAAAGTTGTTTGTTTTTCTGTTTCTGTTCCAGTTCTCTCATGTGGCTTGTTCACACATTTGGTTACATTTTGGCGGTGCTACTTTTGTCTGATGCTATATGCAGAATTTCATATTTCAGGCAAGAATCCGGAATTAAGAGATTTCCCACTGTTGTCATTCCACCTCCTACCTATCAGTGCCCACTGCTGCTGTCTATATGATGAGAAGACAGAGTGGATTGTAGTCAGTTCTGGTGCCTCCTCCACCAGAGCAACATGGACATGAAAGTAGTCTCATACTTATTCCGCCTAGTTAAAATGCCCACCTTCGTTCACTCAAACATTACTTTAGAGTTTTAGAGATGAGTGTGAAGCTCCCTAACCCTCACCCCTACATACACAGCATTCATTATAAATAGAGCTCTTGAGCCTCAGAGTAATCTTGGGAAGTTCTTGAAAATCTCTCATCTGTCAGAGAAAATGAACATTACTTCAATATCCATTTTAAAAGTCTTTTATCCTATTAAGCTCATAAATCTGTCAAAAAGAAGAAGCTCCCATTGCACTTCATGGCTATCTTAACAACACCTGCAGAGCAAATACCACTAATGTATTTGGAAGTCAACCAAGTATTTATAATGAGATTATTCTGAACAGCTGTGTTAAGAACACCCTCCATGTCCGAACAGAAACTTTAAAGCCTTTGAATTCAACCAGTAGCTCCAGAATGCAACCTGTCAAACCTTTGAAACAGCCAAGCACGAGGCTGAGCTAAACTTCAAGGATACAATCAAAGCAGTAGGGACATTTCACACCATTAATCTGGATTTCACTATTGTACAGTGTACAATGTCACTATGCAGTGGATATAGTTCTCTGGCGCATGTGAACACTCTTCCACATTGACAATGCTGTTTAGTCCCTTGATAGTTTGCTACTTGTCAGAAGTAACAACCTGGTAGCTACATCATTTGGTGTCCACTTAACTTTCAAAGCCAAATCTTATAATCACTCATTGTATTAAAAACGTATTAGTGGCACTTTTTTTCTGCCTCCGAAGCCTGCTCCTCACCACTATTTGTGACACATTTTGGTAGCTTTTTTTAAATTCATTTAGATTCACCCACATTGCTCTGGGTCTGGAGTCACATGTAGGCCAGACTGGGTGAGGATGGCAGATTTCCTTCCCTTAAGGACATTAGTGAGTTAGGTGGGTTTTTCCTGACAATCGGCAATGGTTTCATGGTCATCCATGCATTCTTAATTACAGACTTTTTTGAGTTGAA